AATGAATTAATTAAATGGACTACTTATCTACAACTTAATTCGAACAGCGACGATGATAGCGATGAAAATTATTCTTCAACTCAACCTGCACCACTCGTTAATTATTCATCGTCAGAATCATCCAGTGATAATGAAAACTTATTACAATCATCTCATCAATCTACATCTTCTAATAACAACAGCAATGTCGATATTACGTCTTCATCAACATCAACCATTATGAAAAAGCGTAAGCGACGTCAATGGACCGTAAACGAAAAGTTAAATGCAATCGCCTGCTTCGAAAAAAACAACAGCAAACAGCAAACAGCCAAAGACGTTGGATGTGCTACAAAACAACTTCGGATGTGGATCCAGAATAAAGATAAATTATTAAAATTGGCATCTCAAAACAAAGGTGAATAATCTATTTTTATTAAATATAAAAAGTAACTTAATCTCTAATTTTGTTTCCATCAGGTAAAAAACGCAAGCGTCTCGATGGAGGTGGTAAAAAATTAACTTATGTGAAACTTGATTCTCGTTTATTTGCCTGGTATCGTCAAAAACGTACTGATCCTGGATCGACAACAATACCTGCTTCTGATATTCGTAAGGAAAGAGTAACATTTCGTCAACTTGAACGTCGTGGACGACAATTAAGTGAAGAATTAAATCATCCATGTCCATCATCGAATTGGTTTGGTCGTTTTCTTGTTCGTCATCGACTCTCTCTTCAACGTCCAAAACGACAACAGAAGATTCCACTCGACGATGTTCATCAAAAAGCAACTTCATTTTATACTTTTCTTCGACGAGCAAGTCGATGGGCTCCAAAACGTGGTGCAATGGGGGCCTTTACTCCATGTGACATCTTCAACATGGACGAATCTCCACTTGCATTATTCGGCGATCAAGCAAAACGATCAATCAATGATATCAACACTTGCAATGAAGTAGAAGGATGTTTGAGTAACAAAGTGAGTATTTTTCTTTTTCTACAGCACACAACAAATTTAACTTGTTCATTCGAGGTGAGTTTTTGTATACAATTTACAGATAAATTTTCGTAGATCTATAAAACGCTGACATGACAGGCTTCAGACCTAGTTAAAGTTTGCGTTATCAGATCTACACATTCCTTACAAGAACCATTAATATAATCACAAGTCTTCGTTAAATTTTAGAAGCTATCGGTAGACAGATCAGTTTTTCTTGTAGGAAGGGCTATACAAAGAATTATTCTATTTTCTATTTTATTTTGTTTTTTTATTCAGAGATTTTGTACGGTCATTCTCACAGTGTCAGGTGAAGATCAACGTGTTGACCCTGTTTTATTATTCAAAGGGAAGGGCCATGTTTCGCCTGATGAACAGAAACAATATGCCAAGGGTGTCAAGGTGTTCTTCACTCCCGAAGGTGTTATCAATATTCCAACGATGAATAAATATAATGAATGGTTCATTTCCAAAGTAAGATATTTTTAACTTTTCTGAATAGAACTCTTCCGAATTATACGTTCGATACAGCTACAGTCGATTCTCCATTATTACATATTGATGAATCCGACGACAATGATGAAGAACAACAGCAAATCGCAATTCAAGCAAAATTAGCTGAAGATCAAGACAAAAATTTATCAAATCAGAAATATAAACAATTAAAATTAACTCATTTTTGGAAAAAGTAATGTAACTAAATTAATTTCTTTAAAACTTCTTCTTTCTTTTCTTGTTTTTTTGTGTAAATTGTAACTTATACCAGCATTTTTTTGTACCTATATTAATATTAATAAGATATTGTATGATTAATTGAACTTATTCTACATAAAGAGTCAAGAGAATTGAAACAACAATTTCCTTATATTTTTTTAGAAAATTTTACACAAGAGTCATATTAGAAGCCCCCCCCATTATAGAAGCCCCCTCCGAAAATTGTAGACGCTTGACAGTTTAGAAGCCCCCGGGGGGCTTCTAATATGGGGAGGGGTTTACTTGTCGATTGAGAATTTTTTCATTGTATTCAAATTTTCTTTTCAATAAATGAAGCTAAGAAAATAAATAAATATACAGAGTGATAGGAAATTTCAAGCTCTATCAGAATATATAATTACTTTTTTAAAAAGATACTACTCTCATGATTAAAAAGTTTAAAAATTAATTTTCATGACAGTGAGAAAAACTTTTGTTTTTTGGGAATCTGGACATGAGGATGCCTTCGTTACACTTAATTTATTTTGTTAATGAATAGGTCAAAACTAAAACCCAGTTATACAAGGTAATAGAGAACTCCATGGGCTTTCAGAATATGTATTTACTTTTAAACGAATATGACTTCATAGTGAAAATATATTCAAAATACAGAATCCAACTATTTTTTTCCGGAGGTATCTATACATACGATACACATATATATGCTTTGTTGTCATTTCGTTTGTCCTTCTCAACGAGTGAAAACGAACCGAACCGAACACAAACCATATCTTAAAAAAGCATGTCGAATCGAATCGAACTAACTTTTAAAAAACGAGTGAATATAAGCAAACGTAGGAAAAATCTAATTGATTGACCTATCATCGATTTCTTAAAAATACAACTGTTTGCAAAATAACTTGGACAAAATTAAATTTTTTTTGTACCGTGTTTCTTATCGCTACAAACAACTACTAAATTCATTTTTCTAGGAATGAATCATTGGTAGCCATACTACATGTTGACTATTACAGAAGTTTGTTTTCCTTTCTTTTCGATTCATATATATATAATCATGACACCAACTACTCTGATTAAAAAGAGTCATCATATTTTAATATTATATTTTTGGAACAAAGGAATTCGATCTGCTCGTGTTATTCATCGTGAAACGTATTCCACTAAGGACTATCTATTACAATATCAACAAATTGAGACAAATAAATTCACTTAAACAGCGAGGTGAAAATGGTCGACCACATGTCCCTAGTGGAATAGAAAACAAAAGCTATTGGTCAATATATTCGATATAACAATGAGATAACCATTAATGAAATCAAAGAAAAGTTATCGAGGACGCACCACAAAACAGTATCTACATCAACCAACAATAAACACTTTTATCGAAATTGACGTTTATAACAGGACAACAATCCAAAACATACCAGTAATATTTGTCAACAATTCATCAACAAAAATGTATCAGAATTATTAGAGTGGTCATCTCATAGTCAAGATCTCAATCCTATAGAGAATATTTGGTCGATCGTCAAACACAAAGTTTGAAAAAGAAAACCCAAAAACATTGATGAACTCGAGCTTTTTTTAACTGAAGAATTCAAAAACGTTGAAATTAATGTTGTAAAAAATTGTATGATGTCCATGAAAGAAAGATATTTGTCTCTTATTTCTTCTAAAGGTGAACGAATAAAATATTGAAATATGGTTGTCGATAGTATACGTCGTAGGCTACCAACCCATAAATGAAACATGTTGAAGATGACATATATATATAGGAAAATACTGGCATAACAAGTTGTCCAAGTTTTTTTTACAAACAGTTGTATATGCTATTGACAATGAAAAAACGACTTTTGACCAGTTCTTTTACATAATTAATTCAATCGGCATACAATGTTTTATTCCTTGTTCATAATAATTACACATTTTATGTCCATGACGGTCGGTCACTTTAAGCGGCGTAAATTTTTAATTTATTTCTCTTTTTCCCATTGTTTTCTGCTGCAAAGAGCGGATGGATGCTCGTCTAATTGACAATAGCATA